GCCCTGCTCCAAGCTTAGCGTCCTGCCGCAGCTCAGGTCAATGCAGATTTTGAGCAAGACGGATCTGGCAGTGAGTTGGAGCAAGAGGACCAGAAGGACTGCACAACACTAGCCAAAACTCAAGGGAATGAAAGGGACCAGGTAGTTGTATCATGATAGCTGTGTACAGTACGGTGTGAGTTTGAAGATGTTTCTTGGCAGGCAGCCTGCGTCTACAGAGGACGAGGGGACTCGCCAGACACTCTATCCAGCAGCCAGGACCTCAGGACTTCAACATCTTCGCACCATGTGTTCACGCTGTCTCACGCTGACCCTCGCGATTTTGTATGGAAGACTGGACCTGTCTTGCTGTGCATTGCTGATGGGGAGCTTGCCCTGTGCAGGTGAGGAGAGTGCAGAGGAAAAGGCTGGGCTGCTGTGGCATATCATCCCAGAAGCAGCTACGCTGTCAGCAATTTGAGTCAGTTGGGATTGTCAGCGCTGGAGGCGGAGACTGCCCTGGCACTGCGGAGCAGGGGCATCATTCGAACAGAGGAGAGCAGAATTGCAAGGGCTCGGCTCATAGCGAACAGAACACAACATAGAAAGGCCCTTCGGCGCTGTCTGTGGGCGAGGGCAGAATAAATGTGATTTTGTTAGACGTGCCGGCTCTGGCGGCTCCTGGGTGCACCGCAAAACAATGCACAGCATCTCTGTGCTCAGGAAGTCCTGTCGCAGCTTACAAAAGTACGGCCTGCCGAGAACAGCAGGAGCAGCAGTTGACAGACTCGACGGCCATCAAGGTGAGCCATCCGAAGCTCTTCCCAGCCCTACGCCCTACTCACGGCGCTGCAGTGCTGCAGGGTCCACATGCCAAAATGAGACCTCCGTGTGGCAGCTGCTGGAAGCTGCATTGGCTGATGCCCATCACGGCTTCAGCCGATTGAGATATGGTGCATGGTGTCGCTCCGATGCCGAATCAGTCTTGGACTGTTCCAAAAGAAGCAAGTCGTGGATCAGCTCTTTGGGCAAGCTTCCTAGTGGTGGATTGAACCAGGAATTTCTAGCAGCCTGTGGTACGTAGCAGGCTACTGAGATAGCAAACCGCCCGGGATCTGCACCGCCCATACGCAAAATTACCGAAACCACGTCCCTCAAACCGGATGCAGGTAACAGTATCAGGCCCCTCCCATCCATAGTTTGCTGACAGTGGCAACATGCCATATGACAACGCCTGCTGTCCACAGGGACATCGGGGATCTCATAGAATCCCGGGCTGCGACCCGCCGACCTGCCCATGTGCGGACGGAAGGGTCCAGAAATGTCCAGAACATTCCAGGATCCAGGTGTGTGATGCGTGTGACGCGTGCGCAACTTGGGGGGTTGGAGCGCGGCAGGTATCGTTCCTGGAAACAAGAGCCTTGCAGGGGTTCACGTGCCAAGAGCCTGCGTGAAGGACTCCGCTCTTGTTCAGGCCACTGCGTGTGAAGCTTAGCCAGTGGAAGATATCCACTCGTTAATTTGTCAGTGTGAAACTAGGCGGCGCGTGGGCTTGCGCATGGGCTATTTGCTGGCGCTATCTCGCGCTCGTGTCATATGTGTCGCTGCCGCTCGACTGTGTGCCCCATTGTGCAGATCGTCACAAGTTCGTCTGTCTATGTGTGTCTTTGTATCGGTAAGTTGTCCTTCCAGCAACTTGCAACCCATGGTTTTATAGACAAAGCTTTACAGCACGTCCATGAAGTTTGTGATGCATCAGTCGAACTTAGAAAGGACACAGCCCCGAGGGCGTAGAGGTCCCGCTTTTGGCGTTGCATATTCTACTAGTTTGCAGTTAGTTGGCCTCTCTGGTCCACCACCACAAAGACTCTTGTCTGGTAGTTAGTTGCTTTGCACCTTGTGTTTCCCGGTGCTTCATTCTGTTTCTCTTTCAATTTGTTGGGGGGCGGAGAGGGGATGGAGGGGTGAGGGGGCGGGGCAGGCGGGGGAGGGGGGGGATAATGACGGCGAACATGCCGAAAACACTTGTTTTGCAGCGTTTTGCTTCTTTGTACAACATGCTTCACGAGGACGATTGATATCTCTGGAACAAGACGAGCTGTCACAAGCATGCATGCCTTTTGTGAAAATGCAGACTTTTGGCATTCCCGCTCAAAAAGAAGTAGTTTCGGAAGTTCCATGAGCGCCGCACAGTTTGCATTTTCGAAAGTGCTGTGCCTGCCAACAGATCCGAAGATGTAAGCGCACGAAACGTCCAGGCAAGATAAGGCGCTGCAACCCAGTATTTACTTGCGAAAAGGTGCAAGAACGACAGCCAAAGCTTCGCGTCGCAGGTCGTACGTACACTAGCCGCTCGATGGTTTCTGTGCGCAGTGCTTGTCTCGCACGATGTTTGGTCGCCACACGTCCGTTGCTGCAGCAGAAGTATACATGTCTGGTGGCAGAGGCTTAGCCATTTCATGGCATCCCAGAAGAAACGGCAGCAGGTGATGTGTCGCAGCCTTGGTTACGCCAGTTAGCACAGGTACATAAGCATAAGAACTCGGAAAGGGTCCAGAGAAAAGAGTGATCAATTCCCTTTCTCTGGCGGCAGCGGCTCCACCGCCTTCGGCACCAAGGCAGCGAGTGCTTCCAGCGAAAGGTGAGCAAAGGCTCAGACCTGTGTCGATGGCTCAAAGTTGAAGCACTGGACCCTGCTCGACGTATAGGGACCTAAGACTTGACCAATCGCCAGACAAGGTTCAGAATGCTATGATGAGATGCGTCAGCTTCGAAGATGTCACGTTCTCAGTTTTGCTCTGGTGGGTTGCGGGATGGATTTCACGCCGACTGATTTTGTACTGAGGTCTTGACATGAACGCAGACTGATTCCATTGCTGGCGTTGTCGAACAACTGATGCGGGCCAAAGACTGGCTGCATCACTTTGACTAGTCTCGGTCCTACACAAGATAGCTTTCCTGCTTCTTGCTGTAGCAACCCTAGCTTGGCAGAAGCTTGTGCAAAAAACAGGCTGACCATTTGAGGCTGTGCGTTCAATGAGCGAGTGCAGCGAGCTGTACACCTGGACCCTGTGCAGCACGAGAGCCTCTCCTACCTGGTCTTTGATTCCCTGGGCAGCATTTGTCCGGAACAACTGCGAGAGGCCTTGATCGTCCAGCCTAACTGACACAGCGTCGTGACCTCGTGCGACAGGTTTGTCGCAGCATCCAGTCCTTTCACGAGGAGCCATGCCCGGCTTGCAACACTCGTCGCTCCTAACATCTAGGGCGGCCGAAAGGGCGATGAAAGTCTGAGTCGAGGGTAAAGTGCACAGACTAAACGAAGAAATCAGCCACGGCTTACTGGCTTACTGCGCGACGTGTCAGGAAACCTAGGCTTGGCTAAAACAATCAGTTGAAGCTAGGGCCTGGCTGCCTGAAAAGCTGTTGTGCTGTTGTCGAACCGTTCAGCTCCATGAAGCTCTACAGCACAAGCCGTGGGTGCACGCGTGCGACGAAGCGGGAACCAAGTGCGGTGCGACTAGTTGATACTAGTTGTTTGCATGTTGACTTCGCAACTGACACCCTGGAGCATCCCTTGCAGGATCTAGACAGGGATGGCGCCGATGCTCTCGGCGCAGCCTTTGGCATGCAAGGTGCGCATTCCTTTAACTGTTTGGGTTTGTTTGGCAGCGAAGTGGGTTTTCCCGACGTTTCCCGACATTTGCAGTGGTAAGATGTGGCAATTTGCCGACTGTGCCGAGCTGCCGAGCCAGGTATCCTTTGTCGTGTGCCGGAGTATGTCGACTCGATCGCGCAGGTTCGCTAAGCTTCGACACTTCTTGAGCCTCGGATGCCTCGCAGTCCGAAGTTGACAGCCCGATCTTGGTGCACAGGTTAGCCAAAGCCTCATGTGGGGGAAGGCCGTCATTGAAGAGGCAAGGCTGTCATGCTGCCAACAATCCGCAGCTGCTCTTGCAACCACACTATACTGAATCAGACCGCTGCCGATGTAGCTGCTGCTGCCTCCTGGGACGCTGTCGCTGAAGGTTGTGGAAGGCGCTAGGAAGTTCCATGCGCTCTGATCGAGGATGAAGCTCCTTTCATGACACCAGCTAGGCTGTTACGTTTTCTGGGGAAGTTTCTGGCATGGTGCTCTTGGAACTGCAACATGCGCCAAGACCGGAAAGTGTGTGATTGATGTTTCCGCATCAGTGCAGGCAATTCCGCATGCTCTCAGCAGTTGCAGAGAAGCCGTCGAGCCATTGGTCCCGAAGGACTTCAAAAAACCAGATTTCACGTAGCCCATCATGCTCTGCACACCTCATAAATGCGTCAGGAACCAAGACCGAGCTTTGCTTAATGGACTGCAGCAGCTGCCCATGATCACAGCTAGCCTGTGCCTCAGAGCCAAGGGCAAAAGCTGTCTATTTTATGTGTGCAGTTCCGGCAGCCTCTGACAAGCTTCGATCCTAAAAGCCTGTAGCCGGAGCAAGAACAGAAGCCTTGCACCCTTTCGCTGTTCGCGCTGTTCCACGGTGTTTGCGCTGGGCTGCGGTGTTCCACCGTGTTCGCGCTGTTTGCGGTGTTCGCGGGCCGCTATGGTGTTCATGAGCGGATGTTCTAGGACGAGTTTTAGGCATGGTCAGGCTTCATCATTCGAATTCCGTTGATGAAATGAGCGCGACGCTGATACCGAAAGGTGTGGTGCATCCTTAGGCGGCCGTGCAAGCAGATCTGCAAGTCACACGCGCACAAATGCCTCGAACCAACACTGCGATGTGCCGTTGTTTGGGAGCAGCGCAAGCAGTATAGCCTGAGCCCACATCTCGAACAAAGATCCACTCGATCATTGCTAGCAAGGCTTTGATCCAAAGATTTTCCCCAAGTCACCTCATCTTATTTGTGCATTAGTCGTGCCTCTGCTTCTCAGCATCCCCGTGGACTTTGAAGCATGAGCCCCGCCTTGGCCCCTGAACAAAATAAAGGCGTCAACTGGCGGAGTTTACTTTGAGCTGAGGTGAAGTGACAGAGATGGAGGCATGGAGCATGCTGGCTTTTGTACTCGAACTTTCTTTTTTACGGTCCGACGGTGGCAGGGCGATCGGCTGCGGCCTGAGCCCGAGTCTTTGACCTCCTTTGGCACATCGTGGAGCTGCAAGCGAGGGCATCGAAGGCCGCAAGCAAAATGCCGCGGGGCGGCTGATGAGTTACTCCATGGTGCAGCAAATCCTGCAGCCGAAGTCGCTTTTGCAGGATCTACACTTCAGGTAGTAGGCATTTTAGCCTGTAAGGACGGACCAGCGGAGGATAGGTTATCCAGATCTATTGAGTCCGCGCGCGCTGCTTTTGCAGAGCTTTGGGACGGTGGCAATCCGGACTTGGAACCTGCCACAGCTTCAATGAAAGAGGCCCTTCAATCCAGTGATTGTAGCTGCTGGAGCCAGGCAAGTTCCTGCTTCCGGAGATCTTTGAGCGCATGTAGCTTTGCTGCTTGCGAGTTCGCCTTGCTGGTGATGAAATGTTCTTCAGGCACGGAGTCGTGGCTGCAACCCGCCAAAAGGCTGGAGGCCCTGAGCACCGCTCTGAGCAGCGCAGTGCAGGCTTTGCATGAAGCGCCGGATGACTTTGTGCCGCCACCTCGCTGCGACAACGGCGACGGCGACGACGGCACCAGTGACAAGGGTCGGTGGCGCCCTTTCGTCGTGGGTTCCTTTGGACAGGCTTGTCTAGGCTCCATGCTGACCTGTCTTCTGATTCTGATCCCCGTAGCGGTGTGGAGCACCCAAGTGCTCCCCAAATCTGGGTCCAAGAAAGCGAAGGCTGGCCAGGAAGACCTTCATGCCTGCAGAACAGCTCTGAAGGACTTTCTTCAGGCCTTACTTCGTGCTACAGAGCTGCAGTCAGACGCGGTAGCAGCCGCAAAGAAGGATGCAAGCGAGTTGCTGCCACAGCGCCCCTCGACTGTCGCCGCGAGCCTGTCGGGTCCTGCGCTGGAACAGTTCGAAGCGCTTCGAACCGAGATGGAGGCAGCGATCCTTGAGACGCAGCGAAAGCAACTCAAAGGATTGGGGGACATGCTGGGACAACGCTCAGCGCTCTTGAAATCTCGTGGTGCTTTCAAAGTTTGAGCACACGGAGCGTCCCCAAGGCAGAATGCCGATTGATTTTGCGGTTGACGAAGTCCCTATTATTGTTTTAGGGTCCCTAGGATATTGGGGATCTCGATGGTCCCGAAAACTCTAGCTAGCAGGTTTCACGCGTTCGTCAGATACGGTCCTTAGCGGCCTTGGCGGACTCTGATGGGCAAGCTCGCAAAAATGCTGCATGGAAGCATTGCCGGAAGTTTATGCCAGAAAATCCTCAGCATGTTGCTGTTATCTGTTTCATCTGAACGCTGGTCGCCTCCTTGTGGCACACGTTGGGATCTTGGGGATCGTGGCCGGAGGCACTGACAGCAATCTCCGCATCATTTACCCATGCGGCATAGCTGCATGACGGCAGCAGGAGCTCCGGGTAGAAGCATACGACAACGTCTCCAGACACCTACACAGCCCTTTTGCGGGTAGACTGCTAGCCACAAGTTTCCTCTCGGCACTCTTGGAAGCGTGAACGCGCGATGCAGGACCTCTTTTTTTCCATGTTTCCAGTTTTGTTGTGGTCATTTGAGCTGCCAGAAGTGTTGCTCATGTTTTTCACATTCTGTGGTGTCGCAGTACGCTCCCTTCGCCCAACTTCCAGCCCCCGCTGGCCTTGTTGGCCGGAGACTGAGCCCGGCGGGAAATGAATGTTTCTGCAGGGTAAAGCTCTTTGCTTTACAAGGCACTCGATCAGATCAGATTGTGCTGCCGCCGGCGACTGAGAAGTGAACTGGATGTCTGGTCTTCTCATAACGCATTGTTCGCTTGAAGCATACACATCTCGAAGCTGATCGCAATTATCGAAAGAGGGCCGCGCGCAAGGTCGCACAGAAGGGAGTCGAGGGTGCCATGGTGTGCTTCTAGAGTGGTTTGGGCTCTAGGGCGGTGTGCTCACCACATCCTAAATTCCAGCAACATCACGAGCTGCCCTCACAATGGGTGTGCGTCATCAGCACGGCGGGTTGGGAAGGGACCCCTCCCCGAATGAGCCGGGTGAGAGCACGAGAGGGCCTGTACCGTTTTGTCAGGCCTGGGGGTTGGATTTCAATCAGTGAGCAGCCTGTGTTTCAACATCTCAGGGCAGCTCTGAGCGACCTGAAGGCTACTTCGGAGGAGGCTGCCTTGTCCAACCTGCTGACACGCAGAGTAGTGAATGAAGTAGTGAAGGAAGTTCAAAAGTACAGCAAGACAAGCTGAACGTGGCACAAGGAGACACAGAAGATTTTCAAGCTTGCTCGTGATGCCGTTGCCTTGTGCGTCCTTGTGTGTCCTTGTGTATGGGTGTTGGGTCTGAGACAATGCCGAGTCTGCATGGGCCTCGAGGTTGTGTCGGACCATGACAAGTGGTTGTCCACGCTGAAGGAGGAAGAGGCACCTCCATTGGCAATTCGCGCACTGCGAGGGGTGTGCTCACAAATGCTTGTGAACATGTCTGAATCTTCTGAAGCCTGGAAGGCGAACAGGAAGGAACGGCAGGAACTTCTGCGTGTCGTAGCGCAGACCTCTGGTCCCGTTGAAAAAGAAGTGAGATGCTCAGACCGGTCCTTTTCCATCTTCACCAGCCCTTGTCGCGCCTGCCCACGAGGCAACATTGAACTTTCAGATGCCCGGCGGCTCGCAGGTGCATTCGCTTCGAAGACATTAAAGTTTTAGTGATAGCAACGGTTCTCGGATGTTCTAAGCTGGTTTAGGCGTCAGACAAGTTCGACGTCGAGGCCACTACGGCCTTCGACCTCAACTCCAAGGTCTCAATGCACACGCTATTTGCACACGCTATTTGCACAATATGAAGAGCCAGGCCAGACTTCAGACTTCAGCCCGTTGCTGTGAGGCTTACCAGCTTCTGAGCAACACACGCGACCCATGGAAAATCACAGCCTCGCACGCAGCCGTGTGAGACATGCGAAGCTCTTCGCATGGACCGTCTGTCACTGAGGTTACAGGCCCTACGGCTGGCTCAGCTACTTCGATCTCAGTCGAAGTGAGCGAGGCCAGGCGCATGCATTCAGCAGTTCATCAGCTCCTCCGAACATCGAACAACAGTCAGAACTCATGCAGGTGTAGCAAGGAGACATCTATGAATCGAAATTACGCTGCATCAGCAGTCGACTGACGTTGACATGTTCCTCTGCAGGCAATGTATGGGCAGAGCTTGGCCAGTCTGAGGCTTAAGATTCAAGAGCCTTCAAAAAGAGCCTTTCAAAAGAGCCCCTTTCAAATCATTCAGACGGACTTGTCACAGACCCCGACATGTTTTCAATTGTGGTGCCTCTCTGAGGTCTCGGGGTTGTGCCAGGCTGCAGCTACGCCGTGAAAATTGTACAGTAAGGTGGGTCAGGCTTTGTGAAGGTGACCTTCAAGCAAAGAGTTGAAAAGTTGCAGTTAGATTCATTCAGGCAATCCCATGCACAACGAGCTGACCACTTGCTCTGCGTGAGCAGCCCCGTCTCTAGGGCGTGCGACCAGTACAGGGTGCGGCGTCTGGAAAATTCCTGTATTGCAACTCAGCCTTAAATACAGCACTCCAAGTTCCAAACTTCCAACCTGAGATAGGTCGCGGCCCATGGCGGCCGGAGTACTTTTTGCTGTGAAATCCATTCCACGAAGCTGCATCGGTCAGCCAGGATCGGGCATACTTTAACTCAACATGATACTACATCTGAGCTCCACTAAGAAGTCTGAAGCTAGAATGACATTCTGACCAACTGTTCTCACTGCGCGGTGGGTTCCTGACGGTCAGGCTCAGTTGGTCCGGGCCTAGCCACTTATTCTCCTTCCCGCAGCTTCGCAGGCTCCTGGACAAAGACAGAACAGCAAGCTTGTAAGCTTTCACTAAACAGAATGCCAAGCCAGGCATCAAGGGCAGTGTGCACCAAGTCTGTAAGAACCTTTGCCTTATGCCTCGCAAAGCAGCCTGAAGAGTAAGTAGGGCGAGGACGGTTAGCAGGGCCTCAGGCCCCAATGAGCTCGCTTTGTGTACCTCCTGTTGATATGACCCCCCTACTTTTGGAATACCATTAAGCCATAGAGCCCCCCCCCCCCAACTAAGACTCTGCCGATGCGGTTGCAGACATGAGCTGCTGTGTCGTCGCAAACCCTTCAGAGTTGCAGGCGCCTCCAGACACGCCAAGGGCTCTGGGTGGTGGATTGTCTTATCTTGTGTAGGGTCCAGAATACAGGTGCGAATGGGTTCATTTGGGTACAGACATTCAGGTTCATAGACAGTATCAGGTTAATGTTACCATGTCAGCATAGTGCTGATTCGGCACCTGATTTTCCATGTATTTGTTTTGGGCATCTTCGTGCAGTACCATGCAGGATGCAGAAGATTCGAGCAGATTCGGCGAGTCGGTTTCGCAACTCCAAGGGTCTTGACATGCGCACGCCCCTCTAACCAGACGGACTCGCAGTTTTTTTGACACATTGCGCGTTCCAGTAGCAGTCAGTTGGCCAGTGTGCAGCCTCGCCACGACGTGAGGCCCAGCTCAATGAAGCTCAGCGTGCGCTCGCAGACTCGCGCAGAGCTCTTTCTGCTACGAAGAAGGCGAAGTTATGCATGAGTCGGATGAGTCTTATTTTCGGTGCTCGCAGTGAGGATCTCTGAGGCCTCAGAGCCCTGTGCCCAGACGTGAAACATCAAGGTAAGCGGGAGCCATGGTTATCGTGCCAGGCTCTCGCAGATGCAGAGAGGTCACTCCGGGACCAGGCTGAGGCAAGGAACTGCTCAAATCACAGCACGAATCATGAGAAGGTGTCGCTTTTTAGCAGATTTGAGCAGATTTTGGCAGATAGCTTGGAACCTTTGGACCCGCAGAACCGCAGTGCCCTGAGATGCCTTGACGAACCCGCGACTTTCAAGGCCTATGGTTGTCTCCGACGCTGCTTCGATGGTGCAAATGCACCGGTAGTTGCGCTGAGCCTAACTTTCCCACCTTTCCACGTTGGAGCCGGTGTGATTGCAGCGGGGGGAGGGGGAGGTTGCTATCTGATTTCGGGGTAAGAGTTCTGCTGTGTGTGAGAGGGCAGCTTCATAGACAAACCGGAGCATCAAGTTGCGGTTAATCGTTGTTACTGACAAGCAGGCAGGCATGCTTTCAGCATGCCGTCTTGCGCTTCACATAGTTTTGGCAGCGCTGTTTAGAACCAGAGTATTCAGAACTTGCAGCAGGATTGGGCATGTGAGAGAAAGTTTGCCTGTGCCAAGGCTGTGGACCGTTACGGCCTGATCACTCGGTGGAACAGGAAAGCTGAGGAAGTCTTTGGCTGCCCCTGCGAGTCTGCTCTCAGGCGCGCCTCGTCAACTAGGGAGTCACTAGACTGCGGGCATGCTCAGATGATTCTGGGGCATTCGCAGGAGACCCTTCTCCGAGTTTCTCGAGACAGGAGACCAGCCGGGCTTGGCCGACCTTCAGGAGTCTTGCTTGCAACCGAGTGTCACGGGTCTGCAATCTAGACACAATGCCAACGACCTCTTCGATCAAGTGTCAAGCCAAGGCAGCCATCACCTCCAAAGCGGTTCTGCATCTCAGATGAATCAAGCGACCACACTTCAAAACCATGGTTTTTGATTACACTAATGATCAGTGCTGTAGATGCAAGGGAACAGACAAACCAATCCCGATTAGGATGTGATCCCCCGCGTCAAGTCTGGCCAGCCCGACCCAACCTCACAACCATACACCACACGACAAAGTGAAATTGAAACCGTCTGAGCATGAAGATGACACTAAAGCTCTCATGAAGAGTTGTCTGCAACTCCTTATGACACTTGCATCCTGTACACTGACCACCTGGTGACTACCTGTTCCAAAGAAAGCGCACCCACCGTTGAGGGTAGGACCGCAGCGACGCTTTGAGCATCCTCTGGAACCCAGCTGCTCTCTAACGGTCTCTGACGGGCAGGAGAAGCAGTTACAGGGCAGCATTTTTCTGTGTACTTTACAAGACATGCTATCCTGTGGACATTCTGGTGCGCTCAACTTGTGCAACTCGTGAGAAACACCTGTTGCGGGCAACAAATGCAACAACTGGCAATGCTCTCTGCAAGTAGAGCTTCGGAGGTCTCCCAATGGGGTGGCCCACTTACAGCGACGCTTCTGCGTGCACTCCCGAGCGGCTGGGCAGCCGTGGCATGAGGTGGGAGGCAATAAACTCATCTTCAAGCGAGTGCGCACCTTGTTAGGAACTGACGTATCCTAACTGCCTTAGGCAAAAATGCAACAGCGCAACTGAGATGCAGAGCCCTGCCAGTACAGTGAAGAGGGCTTTGAGGGACTGTCAGGGCAGTTCGAGCAAACCGCAAGCTAGCAATCGCGAGATGAGCGAGATGAGCCAGCTTTGTGTCGCTCCTATGTTGGCGTTTTGGTCCTTCACGTCAAGAACAGGTTCGGCCCTACCCTGCTTTATGGGTAAGAGAGGTGTTTTTTTCGTCAAGTCGGCCTAGGTGGTACTGTCCGGTTGAGCCCAAAGCCGACCTACAGCAACAAACGGCTGCGAAACGTAGGCACGGAACCAGTTCTTGACGGTCTTAACTCTCCTTGCAGGTTCTTTTTCTGGCATCCAGCTGTCCAAGTGCCAGCAGCAAGGACTCGTCCGGCGTGCTGTACATCGGTCAGGACGATGGAGTCAATGAAGAGCAGTTCAAATTGCTGTGAGAGCGCAGTTGCTCTGCACGATAGGAAGTCACGGGCTTGCTCAAGAGCTCGCACTCTTCTGAAGTGACCCTGCAAGATCGTCTCATCCGACGCTTGGATCTGGACATCATGTGGCAAAATGGCACCGAGATTTGAGACACTGGGAACTTTTCAGAGCTATCCTGTTCAGGAGAGGTGAATGCCCCTTTGATTGCGGTAGACAAATCTGGATGTGTGGAGGAGCCCTCTGGGGACATGACACGAGTTGCGCATTATGGCGCATTGCGGCGCATTATTGCGCATTGGCATGTGCATCCGTGATCTGCAGGAGTGGAACCGTGGGACCGAGCTTCTGATGGGCTTTACAAAAGAGGAAGCTGTCGGAAAGAAGCTGGTGCAAAATTTCATTGCTGACGAGTTCTCTGACTCTGTACAGACCATGCTCTCCCAGGGCATGAATGGTCAGGAGCTCGGGTCTGTACTGACGAAGTCTTGATCGGATTAGCAGACGGTCTTTCAGCTGCTCCCTGCTCGGATTCAACAAAGCGATGCGGGCTGATCACCTCTGGGTGGAGCCCTGCTGAGTCCCAGCATCTGAGAAGTAGACTGCATGCATGACCCCTTGCAGGAGATCACAAACTATGAGTTTTCCCTCTGGACGAAGAGTGGGCAGCGAAAGGATATTTTGTGGAGCGCTACTGCCCGCCGCGATCGCCATGGAAACATCGTGGGCGTGATCGGCATCGGTCATGACGGGTCTGTCGAGAAATTGTAAGTGTTGTGTGAGCGTTGTGTTTCAGAGCTGCGGCTGTGCAGCTGCACAACATTCGTGATGATCCGCCATGGTGGATTGCACATCAGCCCAGTGCTGAACTCGTGACCCTTGCCTGAAGGACATTACCGAGCTACGCTCCGAGTCGAAGATGCTGGCAAACTACGTCCGCATATGTGGCGCGGCGGTCTGGTCCCTGAAGGGGAATGCAAAGACGGGAGTGATCACCGAGCCTTGAAGGCACGAACCGACAGGCACTGATTGAGGTGGATGGCATCTTGCAGCTATGTTCCCTTCAAAAGTCTGTGACCTTGTGACCTGACAACTCTGGCAAACTCAGGACAGCAAAACGCGAGAGATCGAGCATCTGATCTCGCAGCAGGCACAAATGGACATCTGCGATCCACGGATGGTGCTCTGGCGCGCCTCCTTCGTCTCCATCCTCAAGACCATGTGCCGGGAAGCCCAGACTCGGCAAATGGTATGCGCAGCAGAACTTACTTAGTTTGTATCTACATATGTGTAACATACACTTGGTTAATTTGTAGAAGTTATTACTTATATAAGATATGTGTATCATAAAATCTAGAATATAAAATGTAATCTGATATGTTTAAAAATTAAAATATACAATCCCTAATATAATATATATATATATATATGAGGCAGGAACCTTTGTGTATAATGTGATGATTCGTCCTTTTGTTGGGGGGGGGGGAGTGGGGTTTGAATAGTTTGAATAGTTTGGGGGGTCACGCCTGGGGCCCTAAACTATTCAAACTATTCAATAGTTTTGGGGGGTCCCTGGGAGGAGAGGAGGGCGGAGGGGGGTTTGAATAGTTTGAATAGTTTGGGGGTCCGAACTGGGGCCCTAAACTATTCAAACTATTCAAACCCTGGGGGGGGGGGTCCGGCCTGGGGCCCTAAACTATTCAAACTATTCAAACTATTCAAACTATTCAAACTATTCAAACTATTCAAACTATTCAAACTATTCAAACTATTCAAACTATTCAAACTATTCAAACTATTCAAACCCTGGGGGTTTGAATAGTTTGAATAGTTTGAATAGTTTGAATAGTTTGAATAGTTTGAATAGTTTGAATAGTTTGAATAGTTTGAATAGTTTGAATAGTTTGAATAGTTTGAATAGTTTGGAGGGTCCGGCCTGGGCCCCTAAACTATCCAAACTATTCAAACTATTCAAACCCTGGGGGTTTGAATAGTTTGAATAGTTTGGATAGTTAGACTCACAGTTAGACTAGTTTTGGGGGGTCCCTGGGAGGAGAGGAGGGGGGGGGGTTTGAATAGTTTGAATAGTTTGGGGTCCGAACTGGGGCCCTACACTATCCAACCTATTCAAACTATTCAAACCCTGCGGGTTTGAATAGTTTGAATAGTTTGAATAGTTTGAATAGTTTGAATAGTTTGAATAGTTTGAATAGTTTGAATAGTTTGAATAGTTTGAATAGTTTGAATAGTTTGAATAGTTTGAATAGTTTGAATACTTTGAATACTTTGAATACTTTGAATAGTTTTGGGGGGTCCCTGGGAGGAGAGGAGGGGGGGGGGTTGAATAGTTTAAATAGTTTGGGGGTCCGGCCTGGGGCCCTAAACTATTCAAACTATTCAAACTATTCAAACCCTGGGGGTTTGAATAGTTTGAATAGTTTGAATAGTTTGAATAGTTTTGGGGGGTCCCTGGGAGGAAAGGGGGGGGGGGTTTGAATAGTTTGAATAGTTTGGGGGTCCGAACTGGGGCCCTAAACTATTCAAACTATTCAAACCCTGGGGGGGGGGGTCCGGCCTGGGGCCCTAAACTATTCAAACTATTCAAACTATTCAAACTATTCAAACTATTCAAACTATTCAAACTATTCAAACTATTCAAACTATTCAAACTATTCAAACTATTCAAACTATTCAAACCCTGGGGGTTTGAATAGTTTGAATAGTTTGAATAGGTTGGAGGGTCCGGCCTGGGGCCCTAAACTATCCAAACTATTCAAACTGTTCAAACCCTGGGGTTTTGAATAGTTTGAATAGTTTGAATAGTTTGAATAGTTTGAATAGTTTGAATAGTTTGAATAGTTTGAATAGTTTGAATAGTTTGAATAGTTTGAATAGTTTGAATAGTTTTGGGGGGTCCCCGGGAGGAGAGGGGGGGGGGTTAAAACTATTCAAAACTATTTCAAACTATTCAAACTATTCAAGCCATTGAAACCCGGGGGTTTGAATAGTTTGAATAGTTTGAATAGTTTGAATAGTTTGAATAGTTTGAATAGTTTGAATAGTTTGAATAGTTTGAATAGTTTGAATAGTTTGAATAGTTTGAATAGTTTGAATAGTTTGAATAGTTTTGGGGGGTCCCTGGGAGGAGAAGGGGGGGGGGTTAGAATAGTTTGAATAGTTTAGGGGGGTCCCTGGGAGGAGAGGGGAGGGGTTTGAACAGTTTGAATAGTTTGAATAGTTTGGGGGCCCGGCCTGGGGCCCCAAACTATTCAAACTATTCAAACTATTCAATCTATTCAATCCCAATCACCCGAAGAACGGGGGGGTGGTGCAGGTGCTGGAGGCAAGGAACAAGGATTTGGAGGTGGAGACCTGCTCAACACTCTGGTGGCAGGGATGGCACAGCTCCAGCAGGCACAGATGGCGATGCTCAATCGGAAGGATGAGACCCCAGAGCAAGTCAAGCCGGGAGTAACGACCCTGGCGGTTTTGGGACCTCCAGGAACGCCGGAAAGCGCTGTGGCGGTTCAGGACTGGGTGGAACTGATTGACAGTCCTATGTCAGACATCAGCGACACCAGTGCGGTGTGGTGGAAGGCGGTGAAGACGAGGGCCCAGGACATGTATCAACAGTGGGTCAATAGCACTCCGTACGACCGCCTTCTCCTCAAGGATCCTTCTCCTGGGGACTTGGAGCTCGGGAAGTATTCCCGGGTAAATATGAGGGCAGCTGGAATGATTCTGAGTGCTCTTCCTGATGAGATTCAACGAGATGGTTTCAAGGCAGTGTGCAAAGAGCACTTTGGGGATCATCTATCGTGTCTTCACCTTGTATGCCCCGGGTGGTGAGAAGGAGAAGACCCACATCCTTCGTTCATTGTCGGAGCCGGCAAAGTGCAGTGATCCTGATTCCGCTGCGAAGTCGTTGAGGCAGTGGGAAAAGTGGGTTGCAAGAGCCAAAGAGCTGTCATTGGTGTGCCCTGATCCAGTCGTGCTCACCCGAGGCTTGGGTTTGATCGTGGGTGAGGTGTTGTCCAAGTTTCCGGAGTCGGAGTTCAGAACGAACCTCATGCGCAACAAGCTCCAGGTTGACACAAATCCGAACCTGGAAACCACAATGCGCTACCATCAACATCTTCGAGCTGAGATGGAGTTGCTCTCTATGGCAGGCGCTAAGCAGACACCGACCCCGGCGAAGGCAGCCCCACAGCAGAGCGATACCAAGCTGAAGCCTTTCCGACCTGAAGAGTCAAAGGGAAAGGGTAAAGGAAAGGGCAAGGGCAAGCAAGACGGGTCTGAGCAAAAGGAGGGCGACCAGCGATTGTGCCAGTGGTTTGCAAAGGTTCCAGAAGGGTGTCGCTTTGGACGAAATTGTCGCTTCAAACACACTTTCGAAGGAACTACGAAGAGGGACAAATGCCTTGAATGTGGAGGTGAAGGTCACTTCGCTGCAGCATGTCCTACGAAGCAAAGCCCATCCCCGAAGGCAAAGTCTGACCCTAGTGCAAGGCCGAAAGGTTCTCCTTCGAAGCCTACGACTACAGCTAAAGCTGAAGTTCTTCCTCAAGATGGGATCCAATCCACCTCGACGCCTCAGGAACCCGAGCCTCAGCCAACTTCACCTTCCTCGACATTGACCTCTACTGTGTCGGGATCAGGATCTAGAGAAATGCATGCTGCGGTGTCGGAGGCAGCTGAGATCGTTGGTGGGACAAGGGAATTCGCCAGAGGGTCGAACAACGCTGGAAGGTCTACAACGACAGCTTGATGAGCTGAGGTTGAGGGCTTTGAGGGTGACCGATGATTTCGACTTCGGGAAGCTGAAATCCTTTATGGACAAGCGAGTGTTCCAGGAAGCCCTGAAGCCCCCCAACGTGCTCATCGACTCTGGTGCCACGAACATAATGAGACAGCCTAAGGGTGAAGAGGAGTGGAGTTCAGCTTCAAAGGTCAACGTGGTCTTGGCGAACAACGAGAGTGCCCAGCTCTACCAGAACAGTGCAGGATCGATCTTGGCCTCGTCGTTGGATATACAGTCCCTCCTTCCGATGGGCGACTTAGTGAAGATTGGGTGTGAAGTTCATTGGGGAAAAAAGGGGCTGAGGATCAGACACCCAACTCTTGGGGTGTTAAAGACAACCTTGAGGTCGGGATGCCCGGAACTCAACTTGGCTCAGGCACAAAACCTTTTCGATCAGATTGAGGCGGAGAGGATTCGTGAGCTGGAAACGGGCGCTAGGGAGCTGGAGGTGAAGTTGGACCATTTGATGGCGAAGGAAAACGAGAATTGGTCTACGTCCTTTGAGCGCTTTGTCAAGACCGGGAAGAAGATCGACCTGTGGAAGGGGGTTGAAGGATCGTTCCTGAAAGGCCTTAGCCCAGTGACCAGGGACGCTTTGCCAGTGGATGTGAACATTGAAAAGGGCTGGGAGACACTCAAGGCTACATCGTGGAACCGAAGAAGAAGAAAGCTTCTCTTGAGTTCTACCAGGTGGCTCGTTCAACTTTGCCCTCATCAAGAAGGAGCTCCATCGTTCGCATCGCTGGAGGACAATGGCCTCACCTGCATCACTGTGTCCGGAAGAATACCTAGGGAAATGTTTGGGGTCCTCTTGTGGGGGGCAGCGACTGGAAGGATTGAGGTCATCGTGGGTGCGGGCGGATATGCTTCGTCTAGTGATGAGACAACGAAGGAGAGACTTGCCCAGATGATCCTCCTCTATGTCGTCACGAGATTTGGAAGCCCTTCGAGAAGGACGGGTTTTGTCTGGGTTGGTCCTGAAATGATGAGCCCAGGTGGTCCCGAGGAAGCTGTCATGGGCGAGTTCGAGTCGTTAGCGGGCATGAAGTCGCAGAAGTTTGATCAGGGTGCCTTAGGAGGTGGTCCAAGAAGATCGTCACGATTGCTCTCGAACTACGACCTGAACCACCTTGATGGCTTGCGCCAACCTGAGGAGGGGTCTTGTGGTGGAAAGGATACCTCAAGGCAATGGCCTCGGCAGCTTGAAGTACATGTTCAAAAGGTGGTGGGTGAAGCAAGGTTCGCCCCAACAACAGGATCGTTGAGAGCCATGACAAAACAAGCATGGGAGGACCATGCCCGGTCGGGGCACTACCCCTATCGGAGAGACTGCCTCCAATGTGTCCTCCACGGTGCGACCGGACACAGACACAAGCGTATTGAGCATCCGAGTATGTTTGTTTTGACAACAGACATATCTGGCCCCTTTAAACAAGAAGGGCTCAATGCGAATGCCAGGGGTGACAAACGAC